CAATACTGAGGTCATGTCACAGATTTCAGTAAGATAATCAAGTGACATGTCATGTGATTCGAAGCTCTTGTATCAACAATCCAAGATTCAATAAAAAAACTTATCCGAGAGAACTAATGCCTTCCACTGATTATTACTAAGACCACTAATCCCCACTCGAGCTGCAGAAGGAAAGGCGGTACTAAAAGCAGGCAGTGATGTGACAACAGGAACAGGAGCCGCAAAAACGTGATTTAGCTGAGCAGAACCACGAACAGTACCTCCATTGGTTCCTTTTCTCGAACCGGTAGGAGTACTTGAACCACGACCCATTCTCAAAGCAGCTGCAGTGCCTTTCTGAGATTTATTATTATGTTTATCCTCATACCACTCCGGGTATCCAATCAGTCGAAAACAATTTTCTGGGAGATGACCTGTTCGACCACAATGAGTGCACACTCTATTTTTGGTTCGTGGAGCAGTTTGAACCACAAAACTAACAGCATCATGTCTTTCTTCAATTAATTTTCCCAGTGATTTTGACTCTTTGTCTTGAGCGAGTGCATTGTAAGCTTCCTCAAAAGAAGGTAATGACACACGAGACAAGAGATTTGATTTCACTTGTCCATACAAAGTTTCGTCAAGGCTCATGAGAAATTGGTGCAGTTTATCTTCCTTACGTTTCTTACAAACTTCCTCCATGGTCTTGGCCTTTTGGTAGTCAGCCAAGCTTCATCATAGTTGGGTTAATTTTCTATAATAAGCTTCGATTGCCATTCCTTTTTATCTACAATTTTCTAACTCTGTCTTAAGACGTTGAACACGCTAACCATTTTTAACTCCAACGCGCATTTGAATGTGTGTCCAAAGTTCATGAGAGTCATCAATATGAGACATCGAGTCAGAGAGATTCTCATCAATTGTGATTTTCATCCATGAAACCATGAGAGTATTGTTTGCAATCCAATCTTCAAAATCAGGAGACGTCTCCTCCGGTTGTGGTATGGTACAATCCAAAAAAACTAAACTTTTTCCTTGCTTTCAGTGCTAAACGAAGACTTGTGGCCCATTGATCGTAGTTTGGACCACACAACAAGGGTTTGGAGATCAGAGTACCAAGATTATTTCCAGAAGTTAAACCATATAGAGATATAGTACAACGAGTTTCAGTTGTAGAAACTCTCGGAACAATCGCCGAGTTTTTATCACCCATCGTGAAGAAACAATTTTGTGTCGAGAGTGAAAAAAAAAAAATTAGGTCAAAGACCAAAAGAAAACACAACTAAAAACGAAGATCTCGCAGCGGAAACTTGAAATCAATTAAATTAAAAAAAACAATACAACCTTGTAGGACTTTAGGTTTTAAAACTCTGATATCATGACAATAATATTTTAAAAGTTGTAAAAGATTCCTTAAGTTTTATATCAATAAAGAGGCTATGCCTTGTATACTCAATACATCTTATATCTTATATACTAATAAAAGTTGAAGGTAAATGCTTCTAAAGGTATTCACATGGGATTTAAAAGAGTAATTTTATTGGTCCACATCAACATTCAAAATCAAGAAAGTTTACAAATTCTAATATTATTGCTGAATAATGAAATTAAGAAAGTTTACAAATTCTAATATTATTGTTAAATAAATAAATTTTGTATAAATTTTTTTATTGGTCAACGTCAACACTGAAGATTAAAAGGTTTCCAAGTTCTATTATTGTTTTAAGAATTCTTAAAGATAAAGAAATTATACATAAAATTAATATTAATAATAAAAACTAAAATAAATAATATATTAAAATATGAAATTTTAAATTTAAATTAAATATATACACATATTTAGAGACTCTTACATTAGCATCCAAATTTTTGTCACATAACTAATATAAATTTTATGTTTTTTTTGTGTGTACAACCATTTAAAAAAAAAAAATGAGTTCGGTTTCACTAAAGAATGAGTCATTACATGTAAAAGAACCAAAATGACTAAACTGTATGTTTAATTATTAGCTCAATTACAAAAAATAATAATGAAATGAGATATAAATAAAGCCACTACAAGCCGTTTTAATATTGAAAAAAGACCATAAAATCTCTAAAACTTGGCTACCGAATTTGAGAAAAATGATAAATTCCAAGAAATTCGAGAAATATGCCAAGTGATTGATACTCGACACTTTTGAAAAACAAAGCACTGAAAATAGAGAAAGAGGTTCCGTCATTAAGACGAAGGAGACTGAGGTATCTGAAGAAGATTATTGAAATAACATGGCATATGATGGGGTTTTAACAATTAGCTGACCAAGCAGCATCCAAATACATTAGGTAAGCCTCAAAACAAGGAAGATAGACCAAAATCACTTGCCGCAACGGCTCCCGTGTGAAAAATTTTAGCTTTGATTTCTAAATCTATTACTAATAAAAGCTAAAGCTAAATTTCTCTAAGAATGTCCACATATAATTTTAATTTCAATTCTTTTAGTATACATCAATATCTAAAATTAAGAAAATTTCCAAATTTTAAAATTATATTGTTAACAAAAAATATATTTATAAAAAAAAGGTTGAAGTTATATGCCTCTAAGGACATCCATATAAGATTTAAAAGATCAATTTTATTAGTCCACATCAATAACTAAAATTAAAACGGTTTTGAAATTATAAAATTGTATTGTTAATACAAAACAATATAGATAAAATTGTTAATTAAAATTATTCTATTATTAATAGCAGTTAAAGCTATATTATTTTCAAGGCATCTATATTAGCATTTAAAAGTTCAATTTTATTCATATATATCAAAATTGTAAATGAACATGTTCATTCTTATTAGAAAAGATTACGTATAATCATTGAAAACTATTTAAAATTTTACACAACCAATTGATAAAAATATATTTAATTCACAAATTTTGTGTGATTTTATTCATATTCAATTATTGTTTTGGTTTCAAATTTAAAATTTTTATTAATCTCAAAGCAAACATTTTATTTATGTTTATTTTTAAATTAATATATAAAAAAATTGTATTGATTAAACAAGAGAAGAAAAAATATTAAATATTAAATTTTATTTTTTTTATTTTTTTTAAAAAGACACATATATAATTAGAATAAAAGTGAAAATGATGAAAAAAATATCTTCTTGATTTAAAAAAATGAATGTATAATATTTTATCATCATGTCAATACTATGTTTAAAAAATAGCATTTGATTAGTTTTTTAAAATTTTTAGTTGGTTTTAGTATATTACCTTATAAGTGTTTGACCAAATAAAATATTTTTGAAATATAACATACTATAGATTCAAAATAAAACCGTCTTAATTGAGACGTGGATTAGGATTAATCAAGGGGAGTCTCGTTAAAATCTCACAATTTATATAAAATTATTAGATTAACACCATAATACTTTTATTATATTATTAAAATACTAATATATAAAATTTATATTTTAATAAATACAATTGATTGCATATAATATTTATCAACAAAATACTCACGCGTAGCGTGGACGCAAAATCTAGTTTAACTTAATATTTGACAAGTTACCAATGTGGATAAATACAATAAGGACAAATATAATAAAGCTGAATATGGCACAATAAATATGGTCAAATATAATTATGTTATTGTTAACAAATTTGGCTTTAATATGTGAAAATTTGAGATTGTTGATTTTTTTTTTTTAAGCTTATGTATTGATAAATAGTATGGAATTTTTCCTTAAGGGTTGATGTTAGATCTGAATAATATGCATGTTAAAATCTAGTTTTGGTATTTGTTCTAGAGATAAACATAGTAATTCGGATCTAGATTATGTTTTCATAAGGTTTAGTTTCTGTTTTTTTTGTTAATTTTCAGAATTTTTGGGAGCATTTATTAATTTCTGTATACAGTCTTTGAAAGTTGGTGATAAGTGTCACAAATTTTTGAAACTAAAGACAAATTTTCAAAAATTTAAAGCAGAATTTCGGATCTGGATGTAGCGCGGCAGCTTCATAGGCTTTTATGGCTTTTTCTACAGAAAACCGTAAGTTGAAAATAGGGACAATTTCGTAATTAAAGTGTTTCAGGAAACATTTAGTTTCATCTTAGTCAGTTTAATAGACCACTAAGAGCAACCTCAATAGGAGAGACCATATGGGTCTCCAAAACATTATTTTAATTATTTTTTGAGTAAAAAGTGAGATTAAAAACTGATTTTAGAGATTTTTTGTTTTGGCTGTGCAATGGGAAAGACCCATATGGGTCTCTAAAAAATTTTTTTTTTTTAACAAATTAAAATAAATCCAATTAGTTAAAAAAATATTTGATTAAACCTTTGCAAAATATGCATTTAAATTTAAACAAACTAAACATACAATTTAACATAAACACTTAATTGTTATAGAAATGTCCAAATTTCTGCCATATTTGCTCCATCAAATCTTTTTGCAATTGTTCATGTGTTTCTTTAGAATGAACTCTCCTCCGAATATCCAACATATTTCCAAAATTTGTAGGCATACTTGTCGAATACGAGCGATCCACAGGTGAACTGCTAGTTCCCTCACCTAGTTGAAATTCTTCTTCCGCATTATACTGAGTGTGTGAATCTCGTTCGTCTTCAACTATCATATTATGGAGTATGATACAAGCTCTCATGATTTACCTATTTTATCTTTATCCCAGAAAAGAGCCGGATTTTTAACAATTGCAAATCGAGATTGCAATACACCAAAAGCACGCTCAACATCTTTTCGGGCAGACTCTTGACGCTCCGCAAACACAGATGCTTTAATGCCCTGGGGAAGTGGAATTGATTGGATGAAAGTTGCCCATTTTGGATAAATATCATCAGTGAGATAGTATGCCAGATTGTATTCCCGTCCATTGACAGAAAAATTCACTTGAGATGCTTTTCTTTTTAAGATATCATCAAACACGGGTGAGCGATCTAGGACATTAATATCATTTCAGGTACCTGGAGGTCCAAAAAATGCGTGTCATATCCAGAGATCATATGAAGCTACGGCCTCTTAAACGATCGTTGGTTTTCCTAAACCACGTGAGTATTGTCCTTTCCAAGCAGTAGGACAGTTCTTCCACTCCCAATGCATACAGTCGATGCTTCCTATCATTCCGGGAAATCCGCGTTGTTCTGCAACATAAAGTAAACGTTGAAGATCCTCCTGTGTTGGTCTCCGTAGGTACTCATCGCCGAACAAATTGATTGTTGCTTCAACAAAATTTTCCAAACATGAACAAGCATTCGTTTCACTGAGCCTAAGGTACTCGTCTACCGAATCAGCGGCACCACCATATGCCAAGAGACGAATAGCTGCCGTACATTTTTGTAGAGCAGAGAGTCAAGGTCTTCCCAGAGCATCTTTCTTTTGTTGAGAGAAACGAGCTTCACCGGAAAGTTTTCCGACGATATGCAAAAACAAAGACTTGTTCATCCGAAAACGTCGTCTGAATAACTTTGCAGGATACGTTGCTGCCTCGCTGAAATAATCGTTCCATAACCGAATATGCCCTTCTTCATGATCTCTTTCGACGTAAGCTCTTTTTTCTTCGATTTCTTTGGTTCTTGCTGCTCTCCATATTGAGTAAACATATTCTCATAAGTGCTCATAGTATTGATCAAACGTTTGCTCATAGTATTGATCAAACGTTTGCTCAAAATATTGATCAAAGTGTTGCTCAAAATATTGAGCATTAGATCCATCATTTGGGTTATTTGATAGGAGAAGCCATTTGGAACTTCTCCAGACCTTCTTTTTTTAGACGTCGGATCCGTTTTCGTTGTCGAGAGTTCAGACCACTTTTGGTCATTTCGCAACTCCTTCCACGCGTGTTCCAAGTTGAACTTCTTCTTCTGATCACTGAAGTAGATTTGGTGAGCCATCTTAATCACATCGTTCGCGTTCATTCCACTGCACTTATCCCTCGTTGCTGCCTCAAACGCTCCACAAAACTTGCACACAAAGTCATTCATCTTGTGCCACCTTTGCTTGCATTGGCCGGCCTCGCGTGGTGCACTTCTTAAAGGTTTCATATTGGCTGCATAATATACGGCAATCCTCTTCCAAAAAGCTTCGGACTTCTGCTCGTTACCCACGACAGGGTCTTTGCTTGTGTTAAGCCAAGCGCTGATTAGCAGCACATCCTCATTCGGGGCCCAAGTCCTTCTATCTACTCGCTAACCAGTTGTTTCACCGATGTTAGTTGCTTGCGACCACTGAGTGCTGAATATGGGTACTTGGTCAAGAGAGGGAAAACCATCATTCAATGATGGTTCGTGTTGACTTGTCAATAAGTCAACAAAGTTAGAGGGCTGCGATAATGGATATGTATCCATATAGAGGAAGGAGTACAATGAGAAATGTGAAAGAGAAGAAAATAATGAAAGAGTACAAAGAAAGAGCTTCAAGGAATGAAAAAGATCAGAGAAAGAGATGAAACGAATGACTGAGAGAGAAGGGAAAGGAATGAAATGAATGAACAAAGGAATAAAGGACTGGAAGAGAGATGATGAAGTTGGTTAAACGCAGTAATGAGGAATGGAAGAAGCTACGAATACATTAACAGCTATAGGGTTTAGTAGAGGTTTGAACAGTTTGTTTTAATGACAAAATTGAATACGCTTAACTTCTACACACATCATCTCTCTTCCGCAAACACAACAAACTTAAAAATCGACATGACATAAACCTAAATCTGCATTTATTAACACCTAACATCTACACACATCATTTAAATTCACTAATTACAATGAGAAGAGAGATTCTGTAAACTTACAGTTTCGTTATGATGAAGCAGAATTTAATCTTGTTGCAGCACCGTATAGTTAAGCTCCAACCAAAAGGACCCTACGCTGCATTTAAACAAAAGCATAAAGGCACATAAACACCTGTTAGAGATGACCAAACTGAACATAAAAAGCAAAGATAAATATGCAAACGAAGAGTTACTTATCTGGTTGAGGCTAGCGAACAAATGCATGATAAGCCTTCATATATGTAGTGCTGCCTGATTAATAACATAAAACAGAAAGGAGACCTCTACTCGAAATATATAAACGATGTATATGAAGTGAAAACAAGATATCAATAGATGAAATGAAATAAAGCAGTCATTAAAATAACATTCATGATAAGATTAAATGTTTTCTCCTAACTCATCTCCGTAAAGGTTACAGCAGCCTATTCTACATCCCAACGCATAACAACACAAGAGATGACAGTAAAAATTACTAAAAACAGAATTAGAAGCAGATCAGAACCTCGAGTAGCAAGTGAAGCTTTCACTCCAGCCACTTCACTTTGAATAAAGCCTATGAATTCCTCGATCTTGGTAATGGTTTGATTGATTACGGCAATGCGATCCTCCAAGGCATAGAGACGATCCTCATACGACTGCAGAAGGGCTGTTCGGTTAGAACTTTCCATCATTGAACTCATCCTTGAAATCTGCTGGTCGATGCGGATTTGAAGAATCGTCAGCTGCTCCTCAATGGCTTCATCCCACCATTTGGAAATGTGATCCGGATTATCCTACACACATGAAATAAATATCTTCATTTAAAAATAACTGAATAACATAACATACTAACTACATATAGAAAAGAATTATGATCTTACCTCGCCCAATATAGAAGGACAAGAGAGAACTTCCTGCCGCGAGTCTCTGGTGCTGTAGACTCTTCTAGTACACAGCGAAGGCCACAATAGGATCGGTCAGGTACCCAAAAGTTCCCATCAGCCTTTGCACAACCACTGTTATAGCTTGCATCCGATGTTGTGCTGTTGGTGTAGCTAATCGGCATTGCCCTGTAAAGAACAGAACAAAACTAAAGGTTAACAAAGAAAATACATGACATAGTACATCACACTCACAAGTATAAGATCAAAACCACCAGTGAAAACTTAACAACATATCTTCCATCATGAGTAAAAACGATGAACAAAAAGCACCCGCTAAAGAAGATCATGATTAAAAACATGACACAGAATATCAAACTCACAAGTATAAGATCAAAAGCGATGAACCAAAAGCATCTAAACCCTTAAAACGATGAAACAAAACATGACATAGAAGATCATACACACAAGTATTAAGATAAAAAACAATGAACCAAACACATCATGAGTAAAAACAATGAAAGAAAACATGACATAGAAGATCATAATCAAAGTAAATTCAAACTAGTTAATCTTGTTAACCAATTCCATCACTAACAATCGAAAACAATGAATGAGTCAACCAATTCCATCATTAACAATCAAAATCTAGGTCATATACAATCTAATCAGATCAAAGTATCCCCAAATATGCAAAAATAACCCAGAAATTTTATCACATATAAGAAAAGCCCTAATTTCCAAAATTAGGGTTTCCTCGCAACTCAGGATTTTCTCGCAAAATTAGGGTTTCCTCGAATTCTTGTTCAAAATACAAACTAATCTAAACCCAAAAAGACACACAATCTTTGATTACGGTATACACAGAACGAGATGACCCCGGATTACCAAACAACAAAACAACCAATACAGATAAGAGATTAGGGTTTAAGAGCTTATCTCTTTTGCCTTCCCTTTCGCAGTCACATTTCGACCCCTGATGCCCCCGTCTGAGAACCGCGAACCGTCGGAGAAGCTGCCGGAGACAAATCGATTTCTCCTCGATTTCGTCGGAGAAATGAGAGCAGAGTGGAGAAATGAAAACTATCGAGGTATCGGGGAAAAATGAAATGCCATAGAAAAAAAATATTTATCTCCAATTTTTAACAAATGCAATCACGCCATGTGTGGCAAGAAACGTCTTCAAAAATCCCCAAATAGGAGACGTCTCTGTCAAATAAGAAACGATGCCTCAATTGTTTATTAATAAGTTTATATTAAATACTCTCTAAAAACCGCATTAAAGATGCTCTAAGATTCTCATCCATAATTGAGCTGGCAGTTTAGCCTGTCAGGTATTTGGACCCATTCCAGAATTAAATTAAGACATTTCGTATTTAAGTAAAACGAAAAAAATGAAATGTTATAAGAACAAAAAATGTTATACAAAAAATGTAAAACGAAAAATGCATAGATTCGGTCGGCCTGTTCTACCATTTTGCCATTAGTAAATTCTTGCATATAGAGGCTCAGACTTCTAGTTATATATTTGCGCAAGAATAAAGATTAAATTCTATATTAATAGATAAATTAATTTGTAAACATTTACAATTTGAATTGGATTAATTGATGCAGTATGTTACCAAAATAATTTCTATTGTGAATATTTTTTCAAGAACAATATAAATAGTGTGTGTATGTATCTTTATGCAAATATTAAATCGAACCAAAAGTATGTTATATTTGGCCGGATTACATATATACCTGTGATGATAACTATGTGACAAATTTTAGGAATAACCATGGGAATTATAAATCGATCCAAAATTAAGTTTTTTTATCATGAATTATTATCAGTGTTTGTTTATTACAATTAGCGTATTGCTAGTAGTTAATATCATTATCTAAAGACTTGATGTTAATGTTGCAATTTGGTATGTTGAGATGGATTGTACACAAAAGTAGGATACTAAAAATTTGAGGGTCCAAGAGTTTTATAAAACGTTCTTGGTGGAAAAAAATATGAATGTTTATAGTTTATTATTCTTCGGATAAGTAGTGAGTTACGAATAAAAGATTGTTCTCCTTTTTCCAGCAAATTTTGCTACCGTATCTGAAAATTTAGGTTCAGTTCCAACTCTTGCCCATCCAAGTTTTAAATAATGTGAGATGGATTTGCCTTGAAGGTTATTATATAGTTAACACCTATAAGATTTAATGAAGTAGAAGAGAAAGTAGATAAGGATCCAAAAGTTATGAGGAGCAATGTTCCTGATCCTGAGCTAGAAAAGAAACCAAATGACCCTCTAGAATAAAAATAAAACACTGGAGATGAGAGGCATGATGACTCAAACACAATACCACGAGACCCAACAGCTGCAAACTGTGATATCCTAATTTCCGGTATATGTGAAAACACTTATAAAATTGATTTGGCTACCTATGTCATCAAAGTGCACTTATTTTTTCTGGTCAAGTGTCATGAGAGAACTCCAGAGTTAAGTGTGCTTATGCTGGAGCAATCCCAGGATGGATGACCTACCGGAAAGTAGTCTGCAGTACCGTGCGAGTGAGGACAAAACATGGGGAAAGATCATGTGGTGATTGCAGGGACAGTAGACAACTCTTACGAGCCTCCCGGACCAAGCGACTCACGATCGTCAGACAGGGGTGAGCCCATGGGCCCAGAAAGAGGCCAACCGTCGGACAGTGGTGGGCTAACGGGCCTAAGAGAGAAGGCGTTAGGCTCACTGGTAGGGGCGGTTGGTGGACCAACGGGCCTAGAGAGAGAAGGCGTTGGGCCCAGATTATACGGTATTGGGCTCACTGGTAAGGGCGGTTGGAGGGCCAGAGTTGATAGCCAATCCAGATGAAAGGCAGATTCGGGGTCTCATGGATTTGATAGTCTGTCCGTCTGATTCCCGGTTAGGGAAGAAGGGAGTGGGGTCTCACAATTGGTATTAGAGCCTAGGTTAGCTAACCGGCTCTGAACCGGGTGGCATCTTGGGACGTGGTTGAGAATTCGAGGACGAATTCTTTAGATGTTGGGGAGAATTGTGACATCCTGATTTCCGGTATATGTGAAAAGACTTTAAAAATTGATTTGGCTACCTGTGTCATCAAAATGCACTTATCTTTTCCGGTCAAGTGTCTTGAGAGAACTCCAGAGTTAAGCGTGCTTATGCTGGAGCAATCTCAGGATGGGTGACCTACCGGGAAGTAGTCTGTAGTACCATGCGAGTGAGGACAAAGCACGGGGAAAGATCACGTGGTGATTGCAGGGACAGTAGACAACTCTTACGAGCCTCCCGGACCAAGCGAATCCCGACCGTCGGACAGGGGTGGGCCCATGGACCTAGAAATAGGCCAACCGTCG